GAGCTTCTCCTCTGAGTGGTCAGCCCCCAGTGACCCTCTAGACATCATGATCACAGGTGAGCAATGTACTGCATTTAGTATGAACCCATCTTTGCACAGACTCAGCTGGGTGGAGACCTGGGATTCATCAAGATGATGGTGAGCATGTCAGGGATGAATAGGTCTAAGAACAAGACAGTGGAGAAAGGACTGTCTTTTAGAATATAGAGACTAGATTCTGAAAGAGGGATGGGGGCTTAAAGCAATGACTGTAGTCCTTCAGTCACTTTATTTTTTTTGTCTTTAGGATACCTCCCTGTCACACCCAATATCTCAGTGCTTGCAGGCACTACTGTGTCCTCAGGAGAGAATGTGACCCTGCTTTGTCAATCATCAGACCCAATGGACACATTCTTTCTGTTCAAGGAAAGTGCAGCCCATCCCTACATGCAACAAAGAGCAAAATCTCAAGATCTACAATATGAGGCAGAATTCTCCATGAGTGCTATGACCTCAGCCGTTGGGGGCTCTTACATATGCTTTGGTTCTAACAGCTCATCCCCTTACCTGTTGTCATACTCCAGTGTCCCCATCGAGATCATAGTCTCAGGTGAGGTGATCCTGACTTTTGTTAGCTCAGAGGGTTACTCAGGATAATTGAACTCGGAAACTTGTGGCTGGGATAGGAGTGTGTTTATCAAAGGGAGGGTTATGAAAAGATGGTCTCCTATGCAGAAATTTAGAAGTGAACTGAGATTTCTCAATGGCCATCTCACTCTCTTCATGGGAACCTAGGAGATTCCAGGTAGGAAGCTGGGAGGTTCTGAAGAGGCTGCAGTATAGACATAAGACTGAGAAGATATGAGATAGTTAGTGCAGGCTTCCACACATCATTCCCCCAACAAATTTCCCACAGTCTCCTAGGGTCCAAAAATCCATTTCCATAGAGGTTTTAGATTTTCTTGTTTAGGGAAATTGTTTCACCCTGAGTTTGTGCAGACTGTCTCTCCCTATGAGTCTACATTCCTTTATTAGGTTGGTTGATGACTAAGCTACTAGGTATGAAGCAGAGACCCCAACATGGTCTCCAGAAACCCAGAGGCTCAGAAGCTAGGTTGCATTAGCTGCATCCTGATGAAGAGTGGTCCTGTTGATCTGTCCTAGGCTGAAGCACATAAAATGAGAAGAGGTGTCAATTGCCCTGAGTTTCACCCTCCAAGTGTGTCAGGCCATGAGAAACAGCTCTTCACCCCTGTTGTGTCTGACAGCAGAGGTCTAAGCAAGAACTCTATTGCAGGGTGGGTCCAGCAGGGACAAAGCTAGTTATGTGGTTGGTACATTCTTGTCGGGAGAGGTTGACATGCACCACCCTCTGTCTTGTGAGGTTCTTAGTTTCTCCACGTGTAAATGGAGAAGCCCTGGCAAAGACATTAAGTTCCTTTTAATGATGATCTCCTCTGTTTCACATACTTATAGAGAAAGATTCTAGAACTCTGCTCCACAGTGGTTCTGCCCCATCTAAAACTGTGTTGAAGACATTGTGTTGGGGTGTGGTACAGGGCTAGGACAGGACATTCAGGATCTTTCCTTCCTGTTCATGAGGTTTAGCTCCCGTGTATAGAACAAAGTGGGAGGACAGATATCCTGGACTCAGTCCTCAGCTATGCACCATCCTTCAGGCTGATCTAGGGAAGGAAAACTGACTGAAAGTATTCACAGATGGTCCTGTGTTGCATGGCTGTGAGATTAAGATACAGCAAATACAAAGACCCAACATGGGGTACTCACACAGTAGGTTCATTTTTCTATCATCTGTCTGTCTGTCTATCTATCTATCTATCTATCTATCTATCTATCTATCTATCTATCTATCATCTCTCTCTCTATTGTTCATTCATACAATGCATCTCAATTGCAGCTTCCCCTCCCTTCACTCATTCAAGTACCCCCCCACATCCACTCTGCTTCAGATTCACTACCCCTGCCCCAGAATAGAGCAGGCCACTGAGGGGCATCAATTGAACATGGCACAATATGATACCATAACATCAGACATAGACAGTCACATCAAGGTTGGGTGAAGTCACCCAACAGAAAGAAAAGCATCCTAAAGGCAGGCAAATGTGTCAGATACACTTTATCACTACTGTCTGAAATCACCACAAACACCAAACCAACAACCATAATATAGATGCAGAGGACCTAGTGCAGCTCCATGCAGACTCTGATTGCTTCTTTATTCTCACACAGTAGATTCTCATTTACAGATCCTCTTTCATGATGTCCCTTGTCCCCTAGGACTGGTAAGCTATCAAAAGACCGTGATCGGAGTTTCTGTGGCCTTCTTCCTACTGTTCTTCCTCCTCACCATCTCCCTACTTCTCACACTCAGGCATCAGAAGAAAAACAGAAAGGGAGGTGAGTAGTGTGTGGGAAGCCTGGGTCTCAGTGCGTAGTGGGTCCCACTCTGGGCTATCTAAGCAGGGGCTCAGGGCACCAACCTCAGCGAAAGCCCAGACTGGGACAGCTTAGATCAGCTTAGAAACACGTCTGCACAATCTGAACACAAAATGTTCTCTGGAAACGTGTAATATCCTGTATTGTATAGACTTTTTCAACTCCTGAAAGATTTTTAACATATGTTCAATGAGTTGCAAAGGTGCCTTCTAGTCCTCAAGGTGCTAGGTAAGGGGCTCCACAGCCCCTTGGCTGAGGCTCCTTCCTCTCTTGCAGTTCAGGCAAAGACCGACTTGCAGCCTCCTGCAGATTCAGTAAACAGGGACAGAAGACTCCAGAACAGGTAACTCATGCCCAGGACCATAGACCACATCT